GCGTCTATTACTCGTAGCGTGATGATATAATATAGCCTATATAGCCTTTGTCGATAAATGGGCTTTCTAACACCGAAAGAATTTTTCAAATCGGACCAGTAGTTCCTGAGATTAGCGCGTTCAAGTAAACAAACACACAAACTTCAGCTTTATAATATTAGAAGAAGAAGATAATCATCGACTTTATAGTAACAAAGACGTGTTGCGAACTTTTTGGCTGCTTTGGGTGTCACGAGCTATTTGATACTGACTGTACATGACCTTTATGGCGAATTAGCTTGCGATCTTCGGGTCACGCGCACGATTAGCGGCGATTTGTTGACCTACTTCTGGAAAGGGCATCGTTTGGACATCTTCAGTAGGGTCATAAAAAGATAATTACATGTACTTATAAAGTCCGGTCTGTGAGCACGTAGAATTTTGTCCAATGAACCCAAGCTACCCATCCTTATCGCTCGCGCATAATTATATTGCTGTCGCGACTGTGCGACGGGCGCCCGTAGTGAGTGTGCGAGCGCGACAGCAACATAATTACGCGCGAGCGATAAGGATGGGTAGCTTGGGGTCATTCGACAAAATTCTACGTGCTCACAGACCGGGCTTTAGATCGTTTCATCCACGAAGACGCGTCCCACCAATTTTTGGTCTCGGGCGCGCGGGTAGTTTGATCCGAGCAATCCGAGCGACATTATTTTAGTGTGCTTGTGCACTCATGGATAATTTAGCCTGTATAGATAACACTCAAACATTAGCGGAAGAATGTAGGGCGCGTCTTCGTAGATGAAAATATAGTAGATGGTAGAACGCCCCTGCTTGGTGAACAGACGACCTTAATAAGACAGCTATGTAGCACTGGCTCGGAAAAGAAAGAAGAAGAAGATAAATTGGGAGGTCAGGTTCTGTAGCGTTTTTAGCTTGGAGGACCAGCAGTGGGCGTCTGCGGCAAACGTCAGAAACAAACAAATCAAATTCAAAATAATTTTTATTTGTTTAGACTAATTAAATTATCTTGCGAATCCCTTATATCTCATTTAGTAGCTAATGATGATGATGAATAATTAAAATATAACCCAAGACGTTTCTTCACGAGATCGAATTAGAAATGAGGAGATCCGTAAACGAACTAAAGTGGCTGACATAGCCCGACGGATTAGCAAACTGAAGTGGCAGTGGGCAGGGCACATAGCACGCAGAACTGACGGCCGATGGGGCAGCAAGGTTTTAGAGTGGAGGCAGTGTGGGACGTCCACCCACAAGTGGACCGACGACTTCATAAAGGTCGCAGGAAGGCACTGGATGCGGACCATTCTCCCCTAATGATTTCTATATCGCCCGGTTGGTATATGTTCAGCAGTGGACATCCTGTGGCTGAAATGATGGTGATGATGAACCCAAGACTAGAGATGGAAATAAGTCTACTCTTGAATAACTTTGTGTAAGATAACATCTGTTTAATCCCCTAAAATTACCTACAGCAACCATAATTATAATTTGCGAACTTATTGTTATAATTTCACAAATCTCCAATTTCAAAATGGTCCTAAATGACAGTTTACGTTTCGTTTTACGAAAGATTTCATTAAGAGTTGCGTCTGCGACTCTGCACAGTAGAGTTGACATAATGTAGCTAAATGTAGTAGGATTACAGCACAGTACTGATTTTTAGTGTGAAGACGTAGTGTGGGCCGCCACTAGGTGGACAGACGATCTGGTGAAGGTCGCGGGAAGTACCAGGAGGCAGCGCAGGACCGGTCTTTATGGAAATCCTTGGGGGAGGCCTTTGTCCAGCAGTGGACGTTATTTGGCGGAAACGAACGAACGAATTGACTTAGAGGTCTTGGGTTAGATTTTCAGATGGGTCACAAATATTATATACAAGCTTTTGACCATAGCTTCGTCTATGTGAATTTCACTCTGTAAAAGAAATATCTATTTTTCAGACCTTTCAATGGATGTCGTAAAAGGCGACTAAGGGAGAAATAAATATATAAATGAGAAAATACGCGTCTTCAGCCGGTGCCCTTATAGAGGGTCGTGCTCCTTCAGTGGAGACTAATGATCTGATGATGATGACTATAGAAAAATCCTCACTAATCTATACTAATATTATAAAGCTGAAGAGTTTGTTTGTTTGTTTACTTGAACGCGCTAATCTCAGGAACTACCGGTCCTATTTCAGCGTTAGATAGCACATTTATTGAGGAAGGCTATAGGCTATTTACCATTACGCTACGAGTAATAGGTGCAGAGCAAAAATGTTGCGAAAACGGGTTTTCACGCGTACGAAGTCGCGGGCACAGCTAGTAGGTATTATAAATGCGAAAGTCTGTTTACCTATTACGTTTTTACGCCTAAACCACTGAACTGATTTTCATGAAATTTAATATAGAGATAGATTGAACCTCGGCGAAGGACATAGGACAGTTTAACGGGAACGCGCGTGATGAAATTTTTCTGTGACAAACAAAATTTCAAATGGGTGAACCCACGGGCAAAAGCTAGTATGAAGTAAATAGTGAATTTCAGTGTAATTTGAGAAGTGACTTAAATAAGTATCGAACCCAGGACCTTACTCTACTCGTACGAAGTTACTCTACACGACTCTACTGTGGATTTTCTTTCACGGTTTATCTAAGCGTGGGAAAATTTACTTTTTAATGTGGATATATGATGGGTTTTTCATTCCTAATAATGCAGTAGGTTAAACAATAATTTAACGTCGAGGGTTCACTTCCCGATTGAGTCAATTAAAATGGTTTAGTCATATGGTTTTGTTGAGACATGCTTGATTTTGTAGATAGACTTTACCGTTGATAATTTAGCTTTTGGAAGGGGAATATTATTGTTTTTAATAATCCAATGCTGCTAAATGAAGAAAGTAGTAGTTAAGTAGTTAGATAGGTACGCTTCATCATCATCATCATCATTTCAGCCATAGGACGTCCACTGCTGAACATAGGCCTCCCCCAATGCTTCCATGTTGCCCAGTTGGTAGCGGCCTGCATCCAGCGCCTTCCTTCCTTTATGAGGTCGTCGGTTCACTTTGTGGGCGTCCTACGCTCCGCTTTCCGGTACATGGCCTCTAGTCCAGAACCTTGATGCCCCATCGGCCGTCAGTTCTGCGTACTATGTGCCCTGCCCATTTCCACTTCAGCTTGTTTGATAAGTACGTTTACTACATTATAAAGTAGGTATTGATACCATTGTATGGATTGCACCATTTTATATTAATTTGTTGCAACTGATAGTCTGAAAATAAGAACAAACTAAAAAATAAGTTAATTTGTTGTGTTTTTCACTGGATCAATTTTGATGAATTTTGGTTAGTAGATCATGCTCAATTCATGATCTATTTTTTATAAATAAAAATGAATTGCTGTTCGTTAGTCTGATTAAAACTTGAGAACGGCTGGGCCGATTGAGCTGATTTTGGTTTTAAAATGTGTGTCGTAGTCCAGGGTAGGTCTAAACGGTGAGCAAATAAGGAAAAATTGCGATGGCATATTTATTGCCTTTAAGGCGGAACAGAGTTCGCCGGGTCAGCTAGTTAGAAATAAATTTCTGACTACGATCATGATTCCATAAATCATTGTCAGTTTTTCTTACCTTTTTTAACGCAAACGTTGTGTTCAAAATCAGTATAAATCATTGGAAATCAAATACTGAAGACAGGAAATTCGTTTGACTGATTTAGTATCATTTTCCGCATTTATTTTTTGGTCAATTCTTACACTTATCTAAGACTTTTTTTATTTATAATAATTATCATCATCAGGTCATTTAGTCTCCACTGCAGGAGCATATCATCATCATCATCATTTCAGCCACAGGACGTCCACTGCTGAACATAGGCCTCCCTCATAAAGGTAGCAAGAAGGCGCTGGATGCAGGCCGCTACCAACCGAGCTATGTGGAAATCATTGGGGAAGGCCTATGTTCAGCAGTGGACGTCCTGTGGCTGAAATGAAATGATGATGAAACGTAGCATTGGCTTACACTCCCCACGCTGGCCAGACGGGTTGGGGAGGCCTGATGTTCGCATATTCTCCCTTAGGCGCTGACGACATCCATGGGAAGAGTGGGAGCGGTCCTATCCTATTCAAACCTCAAGGCAAACCTTCCCAAGTACTTAAAAAGTACATTAATTACTTTTTACTTTTAATAAAAATCTGTTTGCTCATAAAACTATTTCGCAAATTCGTTTATTGTAGTGTAAAGTGAAGAAAACAAACTGTCAAGCGAAAATCGACCCTCTGCCGTATCACAGTAAGCGTTCGTATACAGGGTGGAAACGATAAGTGATCTCACTCGATTATTTCTAAACTATACCAGATATCGAAAAACTAGTTACTGATCCTGAAAGTGCTTCACGAGTTCTTTTAAATGGTACCAATAACAGGTTACAGAATAAACGGAATCTATCCGAAAATCCAATGTTTCCAGCTTCCATACTAAATGATGCCAACCACTGAATATTAGAAGTGTAATTTTTAAAAAACTTAAAATAAACTCGTAAATTGCATTCCAATTTAAAATAATTTATGGAAAACATTAGTTTTAGGCTTTCTTTGCTATAAAATTTGCTATAATAATATCAAGAGATGAGTGCCATATCTGTGATAGTACTAAATGTATGGAAGATGGAAACATTTATTTTTTAGATAGATCCAGTTTATTCTGGAACTTAATATTAATACTATTGAATAGAGCACGTGAAGCACTTTTAGGATCAGTAACCAGTTTTACGGTATCTTTTGTAGTTTTTAATATTATGAGGCTGTACCAAATGTATGGAAGCCGGAAACATTGAATTTTCGGATAGATCCAGTTTATTCTTTAACCTATTATTGGTACCGTTTGATAGAGCTCATGAAGCACTTTCAGGATCAGTAAATACTTTTTTGATAACTTGTATATTTTAGAAATAATCGAGAGAGATCACTTATCGTTTCCACCCTGTATAAACATAGATCGACGCGTGCGCACCTCAGTATCTGTCAGTGCTAGTGAGTGCAACAACGTTATAGTGCGTGTATTGTTTGGTACGTTTTTTTTGTTAATTAGTCTTGTAATAATTATTTTATACTAGCTTTAGTTATCCCATGTCACTCGCAATTTCGATCTGTCACTGTCTTTTGACAGCGTGTGTGCCTTTTAAAATCAGGGATAAAATCTATCCTATGTTTTCCTGGGATTTAAACTTTATACCAAATATGAATTAGTTGAAACAGACAAACTATAATTTACTTTTGCATTTACAATTATGTATAAATATGGATGGCTTGCATTGAATCTGTTAGCCTATAACTTGCTCTTTTATTGTAGACAACTGTCCTCTGGGTTCTCTGGAAGAAACGTCTTCCTAGCTGTAAGACCGCCTAAACTGTGTCATTTTAAGTTTGAATATTTTTTATTTGTAAGTTTTATTTAGTGTGCAAAATATTTGTTCTTTTTTAAGTTGTGAAAATTGGGTCACCATAAACTAATTGTAGTTAATTTAAAGTCGCTTTTTAAACAGAATACATAAGTTTAGTCTATAAATTTGAAATTAAAAGGCACAATTTAGGCAGTCTCATCACTAGAAAGTAGTTTGTTTCAGACAACCCGAGAGTCGGTAGTGTTTTTACATCTACTCAAATCAAATTGTTTATTTAGTACATAGGCCCTTTCCAGGGCACTAGGTACACGTCCCAAATATATAGCTTGCCCTACCACCACTCCGGGACAACATATGGGCTGTTGCTGAGAAGAAGTGGCGGAAGCCTTTTTTGGTCTCTACCTACCTTAGTACATAATATGTACTAAGGTAGGTAGAGACCAAAAAAGAAAAAACATTTATTTAGCAAAAATTACAAGCTAAAAGACTAAAAATTACAAAAACTTATTTATTTTGAAATAATTTTCAAATAGGCTCTCATGAATAATATTCTCAAAGCAAAGGAAGAAGTTATATTTTTGACATTGTGGTTCAAAATCACATAAAAATCTAATGCAATAAGTAAAGTGCAATGGTTAGTCAGTATGGGAAACTACTAGACCCCAAACAAAGCAAACCCAGGCAAAATATAACAATAGAGAATGCCTTTAATAACTGACGTAGGTCTAAACTTAAGTAGTACACAATTAAGACAAAGTACATAAGGTACTATTATTGCGCAAACATATTATGTTAAACATATTATGCAAACAATTTTTGCTAAATAAATGTTTTTTCTTTCTTTCAAGATGGGGGATTCAGGCATTTGACAGCAGGCACAGCAGCTTTTCCTTTTTAAAAATACAGACAATACATAAGGTGAATTATGGGCATGAATGGACCAAAAAGTTATTTAATAATGGGATAGTTATAAAAAATATTCTTGCGTTAAGAGTCGCCTCTCGATCTATTTTTTTTTATAACCTTGATTTATTAAGTTATTTAAAAATAATCTTAATGGGATCTTCGAAGTAGAGATATAGCCGAACCTGAAAAATATTATAGCAACTGGTATAGGAAACTTAAAATTTTAGTATATTTACGAAATAACAGGCCTGAATTTAACCTGTCCTATAAAAAATCTGGGATCCGTGGAAACACGCCTTAGGCAGGTCTCAAGACGCCATCGCTAGAAGAGCTTGCCAAGAACTAAGCAAAGTTTCAGTATGCAAATATAGTACAATCGTTCTTTCACACCCTTCTTACTTAATAACTATAGCGAATGCTCAAACCGCGCAGTCGCCATTCGTCGCTCGTTGTGTGTGTTCATTCGTTACTGTTTTGTCCGCATCCTGTGACCTAGGTATGTACTCTTATATTATTTTGTGTTAATTAGTGCCAGTGATTACTATTTGAACCCACAGATGTCGTTTTGTCAAACAGTTGAGTGGGAAAAAGTGTTTGTCTTTTCACGGTTTTCATTCCAATTTATCCTTTCGTAAAATGTTCCTTATGAAAGGTGAGAATATTATTTTAATATTTTCAAGAATTTTCCTTTTCCCTTTGTAACAATTTTATTATACTTGGACTTAATTAGTATTTTAAAAATGCTTTTCTTAAGTTTACTGGTTTAACTCTAATCGATAATTTTAGACACTTTTAGGTATCGTATATCACTATTTTATTATTATTATTATCAGTATTTCTATTATTTATCTTACTATGTAATTAAANGTCCAGTTATATAGTACCTTATGTACTTTGTGTTAATTGTGTATTACTGAAGTTTAGACCTACGTCAGTTATTAAAGGCATTCTCTATTGTTATCTTTTGCCTGGGTTTGCTTTGTTTGGGGTCTAGTAGTTTCCCATACTGACTAACCATTGCACTTATTGCATTAGATTTTTATGTGATTTTGAACCACAATGTCAAAAATATAACTTGTTCCTTTGAAAATATAGTTATTTTTAAAATTTAGTTATATTTACACAAAAAAAAAATATATTGAGAGCCTATTTGAAAATAGGTAATTTCCAAATAAAAATACGTTTTTGTAATTTTTAGTCTTTTAGCTTGTAATTAAATAAATGTTTTTTCTTTCTTTCAAGATGGGTAATCAGGCATTTGCAGCTTTTCCTTTTTAAAAATACAGACAATACATAAGGTAAATTATGGGCATGGATGGACCAAAAAGTTATTTAATAATGGGATAGGTCGTCGTCGTCGTTTCAGCCGAAAGACGTCCACTGCTGGACAAAGGCCTCCCCCAAGGATTTCCACAAAGACCGGTCCTGCGCCGCTTGCATCCAGGTACTTCCCGCGACCTTCACCTGATCGTCGGTCCACCTAGTGGGAGGCCTGCCCACGCTACGTCTTCCAGCTCGTGGTCGCCACTCAAGAACTTTCCTGCCCCAGCGGCCATCAGCTCTTCGAGCTATGTGCCCCGCCCAGGGAAGGTTCGCGAAATTCTCACGTCCGAAATACCGCAGTGTCTCAAGTCAAAAGTATTTGACCAGTGTGTGTTGCCAGTGATGGTGTATGGCTCTGAGACGTGGTCGCTTACTATGGGCCTCATAAGAAGGCTCAAGGTCACCCAAAGAGCGATGGAGCGTGCTATGCTCGGAGTTTCCCTGCGTGATCGAATCAGAAATGAGGAGATCCGTAGGAGAACCAGAGTGACTGACATAGCCCGCAGAATCGCTAAAATGGGATAGGTAGTTATAAAAAATATTCTTGCATTAAGAGTCGCCTCTCGATTATTTTTTTTAATAACCTTGATTTTTCAAGTTATTTAAAAAAATATGTTTGAAGTAGAGGTACCTATAACCAAACCTGAAAAATATAGCAACTGGTTTATGAAACTAAAAAGTTTGGAAATTAGGGATTTACAGGCCTGAATTTAACCTATCTCCTAGAAAAACTGGGATCCGTGGAAACACGCCTTAGGCAGGTTTCAAGACGCCATTGCTAATAGAGCTTGCCAAGAACTAAGCAAAGTTTCAGTATGCAAATATAGTACAATCGTTCTTTCACACCCTTCTTACTTAATAACTATAGCGAATGCTCAAACCGCGCAGTCGCGATTCTTCGCTCGTTGTGTGTGTTCATTCGTTAGTTTTGTCCGCATCCTGTGACCTAGGTATGTACTCTTATATTATTTTGTGTTAATTAGTGCAAGTGATTACTATTTGAACCCACAGATGTCGTTTTGTCAAACAGTTGAGTGGGAAAAAGTGCATTTTTTGTATTTTCGGAGTTTCTTTAAATGTTTCCTTTTGTGAGAATTTTCATTTGAACTAAATGAATGTTTTTTAAAAGCTATTCTTAAGTTTAACGTTTATAGTGACTTTAGAGATATATGAATAGGTATATAAATTATTTACTAGAACCGTAGTGTAAAATGTCCAAGGATATTTATTTATTATTTAATTTAATAGAAAAGTTTTCTCTAATCTTGAAGGTTTTAATAGTACCTACTACTGGTATCATATTATCTATATATATAAAAATGAAACCCGTTTTCCGTTGTCACGACATAACATGAAAACGGCTTGACCGATTTGGCTGATTTTTTTTGTAGTTTTCTAATACTCTGTACAAGGTTTTTACGGAAAAAAATATAAAGAAAATCTCTCAGAAAGATTGAAAAATATACATTTAATTTTGCATATTTTAAAAAACGCGCGTAACGAATGTCAACGTCATACAATTTAATTTATTAGATAGATGAAGGGGGTAAAACGGGATCCACGCGTACGAAGTCGCGGGCGGCCGCTCTTTAATATAATATTCAATTAAAATGTTAATATTATTTAATAGTAGGTACTTGCACTGTTCAGCTACGTGAATTATACCTAAACTTTAACATTTTCCTTGTAATTTATAAATGAAGTTGTAGTATTTTTAAAGATCTAATAAAGTTTTTTAAATTTAAAACAATTGATTGAAACTATCAACATTAACGTCATACGATTATGTAGGTACTTATTCACCTAATAATTTACAACGAAAGATAAATAATAGTTACTAATTTATTTGATTCGTAATTTTAATGTTATAATTATTGTAGGAATTGTATTATTTTCAGTTGAATGAAATGTTACATTAGTAGGTTAAGGTAGGTTTAGGTATAAAATTGAACTCATTTTCAACAATTTACTCCGTTTTGGCTAATTGGCATACATAACTGCTTTGCTAAATTATTTTTTTGATAAAAACAGTCTTTGTTTTTTTATTTAAATTTGAAATCATAAAAAGGTTTGACAAGGACAATTAAAAAAAATAACAAAACGCCGTCTTTTGTTCTTTTTAACACAAAAAAGTTCTGTTACAATTAAAATGTTAATTTAATGCTTTATTTACGCAAAAAATACAGTAATCTATAACTGAACGTCTAGACAAGAATTATAGCAAAATAAAACATGGTACATTACTCATGTAATAAAGCAAATGTATTTATTTTTGGTTCTAATGTAGAGTCGGAAATTGCATTACGACATGTGCACTGAATTATGCATGAATCCAAACAAATGCGTTCAGACCTTAATGACATACATACCATACATAATCTATGCCAATATTATAGAGAGCCAAAACCTTAACTTCCATCTCCTATGTTCTTCTGATTAATTTCGTTGCGGGTCCAATGACAGTTTAACTTTCCCCCGGGACAACTTGACCTTCACTGGTTGGGTTGTAGGCGGTCAAGCTATAGATCCTGGCTACACAGGAGTTGCAGCGGTGGGAACGAGAGGTGGGAATAGTCCCGTAAGCTGATTTGTCATCCCAAAGCGGTGATAGAGAAAGCTGCAAATGATGATGTGTAGGGTAGTTATAACTGCCCTGAAATTGTAATAGTGTTTGAAATCTATAAATGCAGTATGGTATTGATGCAAACTGTCTAGCTCGCATCAATATTTATTACTATTGTACAGTGTGAGTCACGTTAAAGTGTACATATGAAAATAGATGAAACTAGACCTATTTTTATCGACAAAAAAGAGGTCAAAAAATTTTTGAGATTTTTTTTTAATTTTTTATAGAATTTTGTTTCTTCCAATTACTTATTGTAAAGAAAACGTAATAACTTTTAAACTAAGCGGTATATCCTCATAAAATAAAAACAGTAATAATGCTAAATAACAGGCAATACTAAAAAAATACATGAAATACCTAGAAAATGCCAAAAAATAATAAAAAATGATACTTTTTGAAAAAAATCTGCTTAAAAATTCGTATTTTTTTGGTTATTTGATAAATTTCTCCAAAAAATGCCCCTATAACAGGTAGTTTTTATTACTTTTTATTATTCTCTATCGTATTACTTTTGTAAAACCAAAAATCGCATGTCTCTATCCCTATCACAACGTTTACAATGATCGTTTGAACTAAGCCTCTCCGGGCGCGCCATTCAACGCTTCGTTAACAACGGAACTGAAAGTGACTCTAGATTTGTAATTTTGATAAAGACAAGTTAGATTTTAAATAAAAACCAAATATTTCAAAGTAAAATAAGCATTTGAGTTAAAATTAAAATTGTCTCTACCTGTAGCGGAGAAAAATGTGGTGGCAGGCCTTTGTTCAAACGATCATAGCAAATGTTGTGATAGGGATAGAGACATGTGATTTTTAGTTTTACAAAAGTTATACGATAGAGAATAATAAAAAGTAATAAAAACCATCTGTTATAGGGGCATTTTTTGGAGATATTTATCAAATAACCAAAAAAATACGAATTTTTAAGCAGATTTTTTTTAAAAAGCATCATTTTTTATTATTTGTTGGCATTTTTTGTGTATTTTTTGTATTGTTTTAGTATTGCCTGTTATTTAGAATTATTACTGTTTTTATTTTATGAGGATATACCGCTTAGTTTAAA